GTTTTGGGGTGTGCTTTTCCCAGGATGTGTTTCTGGGGGAGTTAATTTTTAAGTTTAAACTGAGACATGAGATTCCTTCATGACGAATTATATGGTCTATTTTGGAGAAAGTACCATCAGGTGCTGAGAAAAAAGGTATATTCATTTGTTTTAGGGTGAAATGTCCTGTAGATACCTGTTAAATTCATTTAGTTCATAACTTCTGTTAATTTCATTGTGTCTTCGTTTAGTTTCTGTTTCCATCATCTGTTCATTGCTTAGAGTGGGGTGTTGAAATCCCCCACTATTATTGTGTTAGGTGCCATGTATGCTTTGAGCTTTAGTAAAGTTTCTTGCATGTATGTGGTTGTCCTTGCATTTGGAGCATAGATGTTCAAAATTGAGAGTTCATCTTGGTAGATTTTTCCTTTGGTAAGTATGAAGTGTCCTTCCTTAACTTTTTTGATAACTTTTTTTGAAAGTCGATTTTATTCAAAATTATAATGGCTACTTCAGCTTGTTTCTTGCTTGGAAAATTGTTTTGCAGCCCTTTACTCTGAAGTAGTGTCTGTCTTTGCAACTGAGATGTGTTTCCTGTATGCAGCAAAATTCTGGGTCCTGTTTACGTATCCAGTCTTTTAGTCTGTCTTTTTATTGGGAAATTTGAGTCCATTGATGTTAAGAGATGTTAAGGAAAAATGGTTGTTTCTTCCTGTAATTTTAGTTGTTAGAGGTGTAATTATGTTTGTGTAGCTATCTTCTTTTGGGTTTGTGGAAGATTACTTTCTTGCTTTTTCTAGGTTGTAGTTTCTTTCCTTGTGTTGGAGTTTTAGAGCTTTTGTCATGGAATATTTTGGTTTCTCCATCTACAGTGATTTAGATTTTTGCTGGATATAGGAGTCTGGGCTGGCATTTGCATTCTCTTAGGGTCTGTATGCTATCAGTCCAGGATCTTCTGGCTTTTACAGTCTCTGGTGAGAAGTCTGGTGTAATCCTTATAAGTCTGCCTTTATATGTTACTTGACCTTTTTCCCTTACTGCTTTTGGTATTTTTCTTTGTTTTGTGCATTTGATGTTTTGATTATTATATGATGGGAGGAACTTCTTTCTAGTCTAGTGTATTTGGAGTAATGTAGGCTTCTTGTATGTTCATGGGCATCTCTTTCTTTAGGTTAGTAAAGTTTTCCTCTATAATTTTGCTGAAGATATTTACTGGTCCTTTAAGTTGGGAATCTTTTCTCTCATTTATACCTATTATCCTTAAATTTGGTCTTCTCATTGTGTCCTGGATTTCCTGGATGTTTTGGGTTAGGAGCTTTTTGCATTTTGCATTATCTTTGACAGATGTGTCAATGTTTTCCATGGTATCTTCTGCACATGAGATTCTCTCTTCTATCTCTTGTATTCTGTGGGTGATGTTTGCATCTATGACTCCTGATCTCTTTCCTAGCTTTTCTATCTCCAGGATAGTCTCCCTTTGAGATTTCTTTATTGTTTCTACTTCCATTTTTAGATCCTGTGTGATTTTGTTTAATTTCTTTACCTGTTTGATTGTGTTTTCTTGCAATACTTTAAGGGATTTTTGTGTATCCTCTTTAAGGCCTTTTTACCTGTTTATCTGTGTTCTCCTGTATTTCTTTAAGGGAGTCATTTATGTCCATCTTAAAGTCCTCTGTCATCATCATGAGAAGTGATTTTAAATTTGAAATCTGATTTTAAGGTGTGATGGTGTATCTAGGACTTGCTATGGTAGGAGAACTGGGTTCCTATGATGCCAGGTAACTTTGGTTTCTTTTGCTTATATTCTTGCCCTTGCCTTTTGCCATCTGGGTAACTCTAGTGCTACCTGCATTCACTGTCTCTGACTTGAGCCTGTCTTTCCAGTTATGTTGCTTGTGTCAGAACTCCTCAGAGACATCTGGACTCTTTCAAAAAACGTTCAACAGGAGCATTGTCGTCTTTAAACGGCTGGAGAAATCCTGTATATAAAGGAGAGACTCTGAAGGAGGCCCACCCTAGAATAACTAATCTCACCCTGATAGTCTATCTCTGAGAATGTCCTTTTGGGGAAAGTCAAGTAAATAACTCTCCATTTTCTTTTCCAGTATGTCTTGACTCTCTCCACTTATTGTTATGGTAGACTGTAGTATGAGCTCTGGTTTTGTTTCTAGATCTAGGTAACTTATTATGTCACTGATTTAATGAGACATCCTAATTCCTGCCTTGGCTGGGCTACTCTAGGGCTCTTGACTCAGAAACTACATAGTTACCTCCCAGGGATTTTCATTAGAAGTGATCCCTCTTCTGTCTCTCCAGTTCTCTCTCCTCTCCTCTCCTCCCCTCTCCTCTCCTCTCCTCTCCTCTCCTCTCCTCTCCTCTCCTCTCCTCTCCTCTCCTCTCCTCTCCTCTCCTC